CGAAACGAAGCAGCTGGGAATTGCAACTTTATGGTCTAGATCAAAACATTTGCATGTTTGATTTGGCCTAGTTAAAGTCCAGATCAAAAACCAATTGTAAGGCCAGAAAAAAATATATTTGCTGATGCTCAGTGACTGTGCTTGAGCTATTTTGAAAACAAGAATGGTTAAAAAAAAAAAACACACACAAAAGAACAACAACAACTATTTCCTCTATATCTGCATAGCTTGAAGAAACAAAGGATATGTCGGAGAGTTGCAGGTGTAATTGCAGCAAAAGGTGGATTTACAGGGGGGCTGAATCACTGTGGCTGAATACAAATGTCTGCCACACTTTTCAGATTTGTAGACATCTAAAAAATATGTTTATTCCTGTCTTTCCACTTAATAATCTTGCTCTACTTTGTGAAGTGCATCACATAAAATCTCAAATAAACACCTTGAAGTTTGTTGATGCTGTGTGATGCTTCCCAAGCACCGCGTGACATCAGTCCTTAGCTTTCATTTCCACTTATTATTTTGCGGAACTCAGTTCTGAAGTAGAAATGAGTTGCTGAGACGCCACAGTCACCTTCACTCAACCTGCATGAGAACAAACCAACACAAAGGCCTCTCATGAAATGTAATATAGATCAGCGCATCAGCTTTGGCATTTCGTTTTGTCCCTGAATGAATGAGTGGCTCTCAGTGTGCACACATGTACGTTCCAGCTTTACTTCTGCTCGAGAGTTTTGTCCAGTGGGATGTTAATAAAGACAGAGTGGATTTTCTGTCTGTTTGCCAAAGTGAGGTCTTTTCCATCCCCTTCCTCCGTTTGTTCTTTAACATTCTATCCTTTCTGCAAGACTGAATAAAGACCTTACCATGAGCCGCACCTTATAAGCCAATGTTTGGATTCCCTTCAGCACCACCGCCAAGAGATCTCTGCACATGTAAATGCTGAGCAAGGGGTAATCTTCGGAGAGCCAAAAATCTACACAATATATGCTCAGGAATCATCAGCTATGAGGTGCTACTTTATTCAGATTGAGAGAGCTGGATCACTGTGAGAGAGAAAAGCAGCTTCTGCTTCTTCGGCACCACATCTCCGTTGAGGAAGTGGAGTGTCAGCTACGTGTCTGGGGTGGATTTGCGAGGCCGGATGCTTAAACAGACAAAGCAAGCTTCAGAATCAAAGAGCTGCCAGTCCTGAAGAGCCTTTGCGCACTTCGTGCTTAGCTCCAGATTTATTTTATATCCCCTATAAATGCCTTTGGTTCTGCATGAAACTTGACTTTAACAGAAGCATTGCTCTTTGCTTTTTCCTCAACCCTTTACTTTCCTCGAAATAATAATATACTTACAGGTAGGCGAAAAGTCGAATGTTCCCCAGTCAGGAGAGAACGGGCCTTCAGTGCATCGTGTTAGGACGGTGTTAGCTGATTTCAACATGGATAGTAGAAAATCTGTCCAAAATCTCCCACAAATGGTTCGGTGTCCTTTCGATGACTCCTCATGCTGACCAGTGGGCAGATGTGAACTAAAGTGACCGTTGGGTTTTCAGCTACCGCTATCGTTTTGAAAAACCATTGTTGTGAACACACATACTTACACGCAGCTTCCTCCATATTTATCAGCTGAGTAAAAACCCTTAAAATGCCTTATTGAGTGAGATTGTGATGCCAAGCAATCATGTGATAATTTGGTGTTTTTTTTAGAGTTTTTTTTCTTAAAGGAAGAAGAACTTCTAATTTTTCTAAACAGCAACCAAAACCAATCAATAACTCAGTTAGCTTGAATTCTCCGTAGGCGTCTTTGACATTTTGCTTGCTAGTCTTATTGCAAAAGGAGCGTATTAGCGGTAAGTGTATTCGTGGGAGCTGCAGGTGCCACTGATTCTCATTCGGGCCGCTTAACCGAGTTATCTTGCCGTGTCTTTTCACAGCCATCTGTTTGGTATTAACGTGAAAGTAGATGTTAGAAACCGGAGTATCAGGTCGCCTTTGACTGCACAGAACATCACGACATAGCGCTAATTGGCAGGCTTGAGCCTCTGACTGAGTCAAAAAGACAATTGGTTAGCAGTAAAGGCGTGTGACGATGTGGAACAAATTCAATCTTAACATGCAAGGGAACAACCACAAAGCTTTTTGTGGAAAAAAAAAACACGAGTGGATGTTTGGCTCACACACCTGGGCCCTAACAGCCAGCTCATCTCACCTTTAAATAGCTCTCAAGTGAGCTTCCATTTTATAGATAGAATGAATAAGTGCTTTTTTTTGTCTTCAAAAATCTGAAATTTGAGTCTGTCTTATTTGAGGATGAAGTCTTTACGGATGTCCCTCTAATCTGGACCAGTCGTTTGCTTTCAGGCTGAAAAGTCGGCCAGAATTGATCGTCCTTTCTAACGCTCCCAGTGGAATTTGCCTTCCTCTGTGCTGCGGTCACAGTGTCCTGTTTCAAGCATAGGTTGTTGGATTATCTCTGACTTGTTGTGACAACAAATGGTCAGGTCTGGTGTATACAGTGTAAACTCGGCTCAGGGCAGCATGAGGGAAAAAAAAAAAAAAGTCATTGTTTTTTTTTTACAGAGGGTCTGCTTTCGTCTGCCGATTTCAGCAGCGTGGGGATGATAAACGCAGCAGCTTCACCCCTTCTGATTCAGTTATCATTCAGATTTTGAAAAGGCCGCTGACACATCCAGGAAAATATGCCGCGTATGTGTGCGAACAGATAACCCACCTCTATCTTTTGCTCGACATCTCTTTGCCGCCATCCTTTTTGATGAACACAAATTACAAGTATGCACACAAACAGGCACTGGTTTGGTCACATACCAGCACCCTGCAGACATACTGGTACCAAAGGAGACATTTTTCTGCTTCTTGCCTCCATATTAAAGCCTGTTATGAATCCAGATTCAGTATCAGCCTTTGCATGGGCGCTGAGCATGCACATTTCTTTTTTTTCCCCCCATTATTGATGATATCATCTGTGGAGGAAACACTCAGGCGCTCTGGTCAGAGGTCACATGACTTTCCCAGGCCAGAGTGTGTCTCTGAACATGAAGGGGACATGTGTCTGCGCATGCTCCAACATTTTCAAAAGGAGGGGAAGTCCAGACACTTGGGACTCAGTTCGTGATGTTCGGTCTTAGTTGAGGCTATCGAACAGAAAAAATAAAAATAAAGACTTGCAGGCTCGGCTTACCACAAGGGGGGGTCCGAAAAACAGACAGACAGTGGTTGCAGCAGCAGAGAGGAATGCCTTGAAGGTCAGTGACCCCACAAATTTAACTGTACAATACTGCTCAGCTTAATCTGCTCCAGTCACAGATAATTGCATACAGACTGTGGATTCTCAAACCTCACAGCACATAAGTGGCAGCTGCATTAGCCTCTGCCTAAAGCACCGCATTAGCAGACATATGTGAATGTTTTTGTTTTTTTTATTTAAACCCCTTTACATCATTGCTTGCTGAATGAAATCAATTTTGTTGCCAAAATATTCTACGCTGGGCAGAAATCAATCATTCCTCAGTTGTTTTATATTTCCCCTCCAAGCAGTCAGAATATATTATGACATTTTTAAGGTTTTCCTTCTAAAATACTTGAATGTTTTGAGATGTTAAAATACCTTTTTTTTCTTTTTTTTTTAGGAATGTGCCTCCTGATCTCAGAGCATGAGCCGCTGTTGTTTTGACACATAGCAGAGAACTTAATGGTGACCCAAAGCTGAATTGGATTAAAACCCTGGCATAAAGATATAATTTATTTTCATTTCTTCAGTTGTAGCTTAACAATTAGCAATTAGCTTGAGAGAGATAAACTGGTATTTTGGCGTCCAGTAGGTGAAAACCAAAGTGCTTTTACCTGTATACGTTCAATGAAAGATGATTAATCTCTTCGGTCCTGTTTCAGAACTTCTTCAGACATGAAGAAGAGCTGGCGCTTTGAAACTATTCAAATGAAGCTGTTCTTGGACTAGGCCAAAACTTTATGTGGAGGTAACATTTAGTAAACTCATCCTGTTGTGGTACAAACGCAACAATTTAAAAGAAGAAGAAGAATGAGTAGAATGAGTTCATTGCTTTTCAGAAAATTACAATTAATTCTTCTGCAACTAACTTAAAACCGTGATTACAAAAGCTATGACAAAGTTATGCATTTGGATTTTAATGGACTTAATAAAATATTAAACACCTGCTAAATATCAGAGTAGCTAATTATTATTATGATTTTTTTCCATTCTGCTTTTCGAAGAGTATCACAAGCTGATTATCATAGTAAGAAACTGGAAAAGTGCAATGACATCAAAACATCAAAATAACACAAAAAAGACATTGAAACATGAAATAAATCAAAAGAATAAAAATGTAAGCATCACTGGAAACAAAAGAAAGATGCAAATTAAAACAAAATGGGGAAAAAAATGCGCAGATGTGACCTAATTAATTAACCTTTGAACTTTATTGGAAAGCGGAAGAAAACAATAATATTCTCAGCCCTAATTCTGTCTCTCCTTTTCCTTTTCTACACCTTGATTCTTCAACCAATCACTCCACAATATGCAAGGGTTGTTATCAGAAACATTACACAGACAAAATCCAAAGAACAAAAATGTAGGAAGACCTACAGAAAACCCGAGTAATATTTATAAAGATAGTTTTGAAAGGTGGCAAAAAAAAAAAACACATCTAACCCAGTTATGACTAAAAACTTGAACCGTTTGCAGAGAAAAGAAGAGATTAACGTTAATTCTCAAATACAGTTCAAGTCATTAAGTGACTCAGAACACAAAGTGAGACAATGTCGTCTTACATTTATGAGGATTTGCCCATCCTTTACAGCCAGATCACATCTAGTGGCTCCTCACCTTCTGGTCCCTCCTGTGACGCAGAATGTTATCAGTTTCCCTCTGCGACCTCACCCACGTCAGGTTGAGTTTACTGCTCCACTAAAACCGACGTGTTCCTGACTTTCTGTCTCCCTTTCACCTTCCCCGTCTGGTTCTGTTTTTAGATATGTGCCAACGTGCTGATCTTCCTGTGCGCTAACATCATCGGGATCTGTACCCACTATCCCGCCGAGGTCTCCCAGAGACAGACCTTCCAGGAGACGAGAGGATACATTCAGGCCAGGCAGCACCTGCAGAGGGAGAACCATCAGCAGGTACACACACACCTGCGTTTCCTGCTGGAGTCAGACAGGGAGCAGCCGTGCCGACGTCCTCCAGGAAAACCCGTCACATACATGCAAATAAGTAACAAATTGGAGTCTCCACGTCACAGACTGATTTGTTTGTCTCTTTTTTTTTTGGTTCTTGTTGTAAGGTCAAAAACACAAATCTCCACAACTTTCTAGTTGACTAACACATTCCCACGCACATGCCAGTAAAACACAGTGACTCATTCAGTATTTTTAGTGGAAAATAATCTTTAAAAAGTCCTCTCTACGTGTTTGTGTGTGTGTGTGTTTCTCTCTTTCTTTCTGCCTTTTCTTTTAAAATTCCTCCCTCTTCCTCTCTCTCTCTCTCTCTCTCTCTCTCTCCCTTGTTTAGGAACGGGTGCTGCTATCTGTTTTGCCGAGACACGTTGCAATGGAGATGAAGGCTGATATCATTGCCAAGAAGGAAGACATGATGTTTCACAAGATCTACATCCAGAAACACGATAATGTGAGGTAAGCCCAGTAATGGACACAGCCAACCTAAGACGGCGTTGTACCTGACTGAGATGTTTTTCCCCTGAGAGTGACTGTTACGCATATCGTGGTTTGATGACACAGATATTAACCTAACCATGTTTTCAGTAGTAAATTATGAGAGGTAGGCCCAACGTTTCCTGTGCCTCTTTCTCATTACCATCTGGTTTTCACATCCTGAAATGGAAGAACTCACTACTAATAGAGGAACAAAAAAAAAACAGTTTCTGCAGAGATCTTCTGTGGCAGATGACCCAGATAAGGAAGGTTGATTTACGGCGCTTAGTGACATAATGCTTTGCCTCACTGCTGCCCTACTAAGGTGTGAATGTTCCAGGAACAATCAATTTCCTCGATGTAACCCAGATTAAAACCTTTAGTTTTTGTCAAGTTATTTTCAGGTCTTTTTGTGAAGGATTCAGCACAGAATCACATAAACAAACAAAAGCTACTCCTTTTTTGCTTTCACAGAATCCTCAAATTGAACTAATTCCGAATAAAATAATCAGTTTAATTCAGTTCAGAGTTTATCTCTTTCTTTGTTTTATCCCTGCAGAGCCTAAAAATCATCTAATATCGCCTCTGCAAATACTGAAGAGCCACCAGTGGTTCAGTGAAATAATACCCAGTTTTGACTCACAGGGTTGTTTTCTTAGGTTTTGTTCCCTTTGTAGGTTGGTTCTCTGACTCATAGGTCCTTGAGTCACGTCATTTCAGTTACTAAAAAATCCCAAAGCTGAAGTTTATCTGCACCAAATTAGGAAAAAAAAAACTCTTAAAATGATTTTTATTATAATGTGGTTTGGCCTCTGACTGGCCAGTAGTAAATGTGTTTATTGTGTGGGAGTTAGTAAGACTTGTAAAAGTATTAAAGTCTCTTGGATTTTTATTTTTATTTTTTTTGTTCACATTACAACCACAAACCTCAGTATGTTTTACTGTGGTCATATATTGCAGACCAACAAAAAGTACTAGCACATAATTTTAAAATGGAAGAAGGACACCTGCTTTTTCTGTTTTAATTTAGCAAATAATATATATATATATATATATATATATATATATATATATATATATATATATATATATATATATATATATATATATTTATCACAGTGTAAATTTAGCAATGTGAAAGACTTAGTTATTTGTTTGGAAAGCATTGGTGAAGGAGCAGCTTCATAAAGACTGAGGAACACAGCACACAGGTCAGGGAGGAAGTTGTCCTCACGTTACATCACCCTGAATACTTGACACCGTCCTGAAACAGAGTGCCGGCTGCAGCGTCATGCTTTGGGAAAGCGCGTTTTCAGACGAGATGGTGAAAGTGATGCTCAGAGTAAAAGATAAAAGAGTCTTCATACAAGGTAAAGCATGATAGGTTAGAATGACCCAAGATCTTTGGCAATAGTTGAAGATTACTGTTCTCAAACTCACTCCACTGTGAGTACAAGGAATTTCTGTAGACAAGAAAATGACAAAATTTCCAAAATGTCTCTAGATGTGTAAAGCTGGTGAAGACACACCCCAAAAACAATAAAATCTGGTTCTCCTTAATGTTGACTTAGAGTGGGCTAAGTAAAAAATATTAATAATTAACATGGACATAAGTAATCAGAATAAATGGCCAGTAAGAATAAAAATGCATAATGTAATTTCTATTCTGATCAGCCTCAGCTCGATTGGACTGAATTTGTAATCTGAATGAGAGAAGTTGGTTAATACGGCGAGTGATAATCCAAATGTCGTGCATGTAAAGACTTGTTCTGAGTGTGGCAGATTGACCTGACTGTGCATGTGTGCGATAAGTCGGAGAAGAAAGAATGGTTTGTTGCTCTCTGGTCGTCTAATGCAGGAAAACCAACAGCATGTGTTGCTTATAGCCTGCAGCTTAAATAGAGAGTTAAGTAACAGAACCTGGTGCAGATCCGTTCTGGTCCCTTAGAAGACACAAAACAAAGACACAACTCTTGTTTTTTTATGTGCAGTACAGACAGAAGTACCACTTCTTCTTCTTCTCTCTTTTTAGGGAAATGTTACCACTCTGCGCATACCACTCCATATAAACCATATATTCTGATTATTTAACCCGAATACATTTCCATCCGATCAAGGAATTTCGCACATGTAAACATAACCACAGTCTTTAAATTTGTATTTGTAAAATAAATCCGTACACCTGTTGTCCTTCCTACTTACAGTTGTGCACCTTTGTATGCTGTCTGTTCGTTCACATAAAATTCACATAAAATTCACATAAAACCACAACAGAGCATTCTGAGAGACAATCTGAGCTTAAAAGTTTAAAACTTCATATGTCAAAATATTACACTTTAGATTAACTTATTATATGGCGGTAAGACGTTACTGCCCACATGAAGCTGTGTAGAAGATGAAAAACCCGTCCCCTAGTGGGACAGACAGCATCATCTGTCACCTTGAACAGCGTCTTTGGTCTTCCTGTTGTTTATCCTTGTGCTTCGTTTCTTTTAAAAGTTAAACCAACAAAGTCAAGCAGACCTGGCGACGGCTGGGGGGGGGCGGAGGTGTTCTCAGAGGGGAGGGATGGATGTTGTGACCTAAATCTGACTAAACGACCAGAGCCGTGGCTGAACAAGTGTCTGCGACTCTTTTTGTCTCTTCTCTGCTCCAGTGGCATTCGGAGCAGTTTCCTCCTTCCTCTTGTATTTGATTAATCTAATTCTCCTCTTTTTTTTTTTCTTTTTTCCTTCGTCCCTCTCACCTCTCCCACCTCAACGTCTCATGATCTGCAGCATACTATTTGCCGACATCGAGGGCTTCACCAGCCTGGCGTCTCAGTGCACGGCACAGGAACTGGTCATGACGCTGAACGAGCTATTCGCCCGTTTCGACAAGCTGGCCTCGGTGAGACACCTGCTGCTGCTGCGGCTTTCGCTGCACAACTCTGAACCACCGACTCCAGTGCAACTGTGCAATCTGCAGCCTTAGCGGATCACGGATGAAAGTGGCATTATGTACTTTGATGAACTGCAAACGCCACTAGTTAGATTACGCGGAGACTTATCTACAGTTAAGTGAGAAACTATTTGTCTCCTTGAAGATTTAATCTTAATTTGTTTTGTGTAACACGCCAATGTTACACAAAACAAAAAACTTCAATATCTGATAAAGTTAAAGCCAACTAAATACAAGAAGTAGTTTTCATATAGTTACAAATTCTACAATTATGAATGTACAAACCATGCAGTCATCCTCCGTGAAGCCATTAATTAAAGCTAATTAATCACAATTTTACCAACTTTATTATTTCCAGACCCATAAGATCAATACATTTTCTGACAACATAAAGTAGACAAAAAAGACCCAATGAAGGGACACATAAAGCCCAGATACAAAGAAATTCAACAATGAAAATTTTGGGACTTCAGTGAGAGACATTGTCCACAGAAGCAGAAAACATAAAACAGTCGTGAACCTTACCAAGAGTTGCCTTTGAAAATTGCATAAAGAGTACATCTCTGACTAATCCATGAGGTCACCAATGAGCCCAAAACAACATCTACAGCACAGCAGACTTTATTTGGTGGAATTAAGTTCAGCGCTACTGATTTAAAAAATGGAGAGAGTAAACAAAAATGCCTTTATGGTAGAGCTCTAAGCACAAAACCTATGCTAGAAAAATGAAAAAAAAAAAAAAAAGCCTTCTTGGTCCACAAGATTCTACGTAAAATATTCTACAGATTTACCAAGACAAAAGGTGTTCATCTTGTCATATCAGAAAATCCTGGAGGAGAATGTCTGGTCATCAATTTCAGCTTGACGATGATCTGAGCAGCGCCAGAAAGCCGATCTCATAACGACTCAAAACAAAGACAATAAAAACCCAAATTGAAATTGTCGCACTTAAATTGGACCGAGATATAATAAACAGGCCGTTGATGTTCAGCCTGCGTCGTACAAAGCAATTCTCCAATGAAGAATGGGTAAAAATTCAGCAGCAGTGATGTAAAAGACTCTGGCACTCATCAAAAACACTTGTGGTTGCTGCAAAGAGTGGCACAAGTTGAGTTTAAGAAGGAGACATCTGCTATTTCTTTTAGGGCCATGTTGTTTTGGATAGCATTTTATCTTAACAAACATGGTGGGTTTTTTTTGTTTTTTTTCCAGATTATCTTTGAAATTAAAATTTGTGTGACGATCTGAGACATTCGAGTGTGACACAAAGGAAAAGGCTGAACAAATCCAAAATGCTTTTAATCACAGAACTGCTAGCTGAACGTTAGGTCTCACGAAAAACTTAACATTGTAGGTGAAATCTGTATTTTGCTGCTTTGCTGAACAGGAGAACCACTGCCTCCGCATCAAAATCCTCGGAGACTGTTATTACTGCGTATCGGGTCTGCCGGAGCCCCGGGCTGACCATGCCCACTGCTGTGTGGAGATGGGAGTGGACATGATTGAAGCCATCTCGTGAGCGAACACTGAACACTGCAACACACAGAAACCGTCATGAAATGTCCGTCAAGGTCCTTTTTTTTTTTTTTTTTAACAGCAGTGTGTGTATTTTCATCTGCAGGCTGGTAAGAGAAGTGACAGGTGTTAATGTGAACATGCGGGTGGGCATTCACAGCGGGCGAGTTCACTGCGGGGTGCTGGGCCTGCGCAAGTGGCAGTTTGACGTCTGGTCCAACGACGTGACGCTCGCCAACCAAATGGAGGCCGGGGGGAAGGCAGGGTGAGAACCTCCGGCTCCACCTGCTGCTTGACGTGGCGGACGACCGCGTTCTCCGTGCAGCTTCTGATTTCTGAATTGCTCGTGTTCTCAGACGTATCCACATTACCAAAGCCACCTTGCAGTACCTGAACGGGGATTATGAGGTGGAGCCGGGATACGGAGGGGAGAGGAACGCGTACCTGAAGGAAAACAACATCGAAACCTTTTTGGTGCTTGGCTGCAGCCAGAAAAGAGTGAGAGCTCTTATCTGCGTGGCTCCTCTTAAAATACCACGCCGCTGCCACATATTTCACACAAACAGCCGAATGCTTTTGGTCACATGGCTTTAAGGGCATTTATTTATTTTTTCCTTTCAGAAAGAGGAGAAAGCCATGATGGCCAAACTTCACCGAAAGCGTGCAAATTCTGCAGAGGGACTGATGTCCCATTGGGTGTCTGATAGAGCTTTCTCCAGAAGTAAGGAGTCTAAAGTCTACAAGAAGATGGTGATATTCCCTCTAAAATGTTGCTAGATCTTTTTTTTTTTTTTTTTTTTTTTTAAAAAATATTAACAAACAAAAACTCACACTATCTGTGAGCCATTTTTGGGCTTTGTTTGAGTTGTATTGCTTATGTTATTAGAAGATTAATGCAG